TATTTTCTAGATTGATACATGTCTTGTCTATACCAATAAATAAATGTGCAAAATTTTTCAACTTGATCAAAGAAAATTTGTGGGAGAAATAATGTGAACAGTCTTTTTACCAGTCAGACAGATAGACAGACAGATAGACAGATAGTTGACATAAGCTTTGTCAATACGAAGCGTAGAGCATGTTGAAACTATAAGAGACAAAATAACAACTTACGTAGAGTGACTAAACAATTATTATCTATGAATTTACTGTCATTGTGCTGACCCACAGGAAACCTCCTCAAACACAAGATCTTCCCATTGTCTAGCAAGAAACTTTTTTTTTTTTTTTTTGGTGTTTAATAGTGCACCTAGGATGACTTGAAGTCGTTGCTGAATTATCACGATAGCTGAATTATCACAATCGGGGAATTATCATGATAGATGAATTATCATGGTAGGTAAACTATCACAATAGCAGCTTGTCGTGATAGGCGGCTTGTCATGATAGACGGATATGGACTTGATATATTTTGGTTAGAGAATCAGGTTTTATTAAATACTAAGAATGTTAATGAATGAACTAGAGAAACAAAAATTGCTTTTTCTTGAGCTTGAATGAGAACTGACTTCAGGATTTGTTTAAATAGCAGAGCATTGCTAGTACAAGGATGTACAAAACTAGTGTGTGTACCTACAGGCCTATTGTGTACATGTGTCTGACTGTTTTAGAGAAATGTGAATAGTTCATCAAATAAAATGTTGTACTTCAGCTGTTTTGTCTATTTTTAACTATTTTACATTGTGAATAGCAGTTTACACATTCATAGTCTCATTATTTTGTTTCGTAATTTGGGAATTGGGTTCAAAATGTACGTCTGTCGATTCATATCTACACTCGCAGCTGTCTAGCCAAGAAGGCGGCATGACTTAAGAGCTGAGTAATACAGATATTGACTTTCCCACAGACTGTGCACCAGTTTTAGTTCCGTCAAATATCGGCCATTTATTTTCATCCACTTTTGTTTTCCCAAAGTTCAAGTTTCATTTGGACGAACGGATCTTTTCAGACAAATCGAGGCATATTGTAGTTCACCCTTGCATTGAAACATTGAATTGTTCAAGGTGACAAAGATGTCTACCAGGTCGGCTATTTTCTATTGTTTCGCTTGCTAATAAAAGAAAAACAACAACAAACTTCTTCACGGAGATAAAAAAAACACACACACACACACACCAATCTTTTAGAACTTTGGCTCTCGACAACTTTATCACATCAGTGTGAAATAACAGAACACGTTGAACGCATCAAACTAATTGTAAAGAGGCAACCATCAATGAAAAATAACATGTTTACCTTCCAACAATGATGTTACACTCACTAACTCAAAGTGCCATCTGTATCCACTAACAAAATATCAGTCTTTTTAAATTTTAGTTTCACGGTCGTTTCGTAATTTATAAATCTGGAACAAATCTGAGTAATGTCTCTTTGTTTTCTTATCCGAAATGAAAATGTATACAAACAAACTGTGGTACAATTATTTGTTTAAAACGGCCAAAAACCGAAACCCACAGGTTGAAAACCCCTGATTAGAAGTTTTTTTTCCCTTTTCAATATCAAACAAAAATAATTAATTACAATGGATTAATTGACTGACTGGTTAATTTTACATTCATTTATGTTTTTTTTTTATGTACAATAAATAATTGTTTTAAGTTTCAACTTGATCTGAGAATGGGTGTGGGAGAAATAAGTGTATAATTATTTAAAAGGACTAAACACCACAATATAAGCCAAATCTCTTAATACTGAAGGATATAATTTAATTCTCACTTTTTACTATCAAATAAAATAATTAATTAACAGTCCTAATCGAGGAATTAGATTTTTTTTGTTCGAGCATGTTTTATTAAGTAAAAAAAATAATTGTGTAAAGTTTCAACTTAATCCGAGAGTGGGAGAAATAACGTTCACATTTTGTACCAGACAGACAGGGAGTGAGAGACAGAGTGGGTGAGTGACAGAGTGGGTGAGTGACATAGTGAGTGAGTGACAGAGTGGGTGAGTGACATAGAGAGTCAGTGACATAGTGAGTAAGTGACAGAGTAGGTGAGTGACATAGTGAGTGAGTGACATAGTGAGTGAATGACACAGTGAGTAAGTGACAGAGTGGGTGAGTGACATAGTGAGTGAGTGAAGAAGTGGGTGAGTGACATAGTGAGTGAGTGACATAGTGAGTGAGTGAAAGAGCGAGTGAGTGACATAGTGAGTGAGTGACATAGTGAGTGAGTGACATAGTGAGTGAGTGACATAGTGAGTGAGTGACAGTGAGTGAGTAACATAGTGAGTGAGTGACATAGTGAGTGAGTGACAAAGTGAGTGAGTGACAGAGCGAGTGAGTGACATAGTGAGTAAGAGACAGAGTGAGAGCGTGACATAGTGAGTGAGTGACATAGTGAGTGAGTGATAGAGTGCGTGAGTGAGATAGTGGGTGAGTGACATAGCGAGTGAGTGACAGAGTGGGTGAGTGACATAGTGAGTGAGTGACAGAATGAGTGAGTTACATAGTGAGTGAGTGACATAGTGGGTGAGAGACAGAGTGAGTGAGTAAAAGAGCTAGTGAGTGAAAGAGTGGGTGAGTGACAGAGTGAGTGATTGAAAGAGCAAGTGAGTGAGAGAGTGGGTGAGTGAAAGAGGAATGAGTGACAGCGAGTAAAAAAGGGAGTGACATAGTGAGTGAGTGACAAAGTGGGTGAGTGACAGAGTGAGTGAGTGAAAGAGCGAGTGAGTGACAGAGCGAGTGAGTGACATAGTGAGTGAGTGACATAGTGAGTGAGTGACATAGTGAGTGAGTGACAGAGCGAGTAAGTGACAGAGCGAGTGAGTGACATAGTGAGTGAGTGACATAGTGAGTAAGTGACATAGTGAGTGAGTGACATAGTGAGTGAGTGACATAGTGACTGAGTGACATAGTGACTGAGTGATAGAGCGAGTGAGTGACATAGTGAGTGAGTGACATAGTGAGTGAGAGACAGAGTGAGTGAGTGACATAGTGAGTGAGTGACATAGTGAGTGAGTGACATAGTGAGTGAGTGATCGAGCGAGTGAGTGACACAGTAAGTGAGAGACAAAGTGAGTGAGTGACAGAGTGGGTGAGTGACAGAGTGAGTGAGTGACAGAGGAATGAGTGACAGCGAATAAGTTAGGAAGTGACATAGTGAATGAGTGACAGAGTGTGTGAGTTACACAGTGAGTGAGTGACATAAAGAGTGAGTGACAATGTGGGTGAGTGAGTGACATAGTGAGTGAGTGACATAGTGAGTGAGTGACATAGTGAGTGAGTGACAGAGTTAGTGAGTGACAGAGTGAGTGACATAGTAAGTGAGTGAATGAGTGGGTGAGTGACATAGTAAGTGAGTGACAGAGCAAGTGAGTGACAGAGTGGGTGAGTGACTGAGGAATGAGTGACAGCGAGTAAGTGAGGGAGTGACATAATGAATGAGTGACATAGTGAGTGAGTGACATAGTGAGTGAGTGACATAGTGAGTGAGTGACATAGTGAGTGAGTGACATAGTGAGTGAGTGACATAGTGAGTGAGTGACATAGTGAGTGAGTGACAGTGTGGGTGAGTGACAGAGGAATGAGTGACAGCGAGTATATGAGGGAGTGACATAGTGAATGAGTGACAGAGTGGGTGAGCAACAGAATGAGTGAGTGACAAAGTGGGTGAGTGACATAGTGAGTGAGTGACAGAATGGGTGAGTGACAGAGTAATTGAGTGACAGAGCGAGTTTGAGACAGAGTGAGTGAATGACAGAGTGAGTGAGTGGCATAGTACCAGACAGACAGGGAGTGAGAGACAGAGTGGGTGAGTGACAGAGTGGGTGAGTGACATAGTGAGTGAGTGACAGAGTGGGTGAGTGACATAGAGAGTCAGTGACATAGTGAGTAAGTGACAGAGTAGGTGAGTGACATAGTGAGTGATTGACAGAGTGAGCGAGTGACATAGTGAGTGAGTGGCAGAGTGAGTGACAGAGTGAGTGAGTGACAGAGGAATGAGTGACAGCGAGTAAGTGAATGAGTGACAACGTGGTGAGTGACATAGTGAGTGAGTGACATAGTGGGTGAGTGACAGAGCGAGTGAGTGACAGAGCGAGTGAGTGACAGAGCGAGTGAGTGACATAGTGAGTGATCGACATAGTGAGTGAGTGACAGAGTGAGTGAGTGACAGAGCGAGTGAGTGAAAGAATGGGTGAATTACATAGTGTGTGAGTGACAGAGGGAGGGGGGAGAGGGAGTGACACAGTGAATGAGTGACAGAGGAAGTAAGTGACAGAGGGAGTGAGTGACAGAGGGAGGGAGTGACAGAGTGAATGAGTGACAGAGGCAGTGAGTGACAGAGGGAGTGAATGAGTGAGGGAGTGAATGAGTGACAGAGTGAGTGGGAGTCAGAGGGAGTGAGTGACAGAGGGAGGGGGGAGAGGGAGTGACAGAGTGAATGAGTGACAGAGGAAGTAAGTGACAGAGGAAGTAAGTGACAGAGGGAGTGAGTGACAGAGGGAGTGAGTGACAGAGGGAGGGAGTGACAGAGTGAATGAGTGACAGAGGCAGTGAGTGACAGAGGGAAGGAGTGACAGAGTGAATGAGTGACAGAGGGAGTGAGTGACAGAGTCAGTTATGTAAACTTTGTAAAAATGAAGGAACAAAACAAAAGAATCCAACTAATTTTAAGATGTCACGTGATGTCATTTCGATGTAAGAGAAGAAACATTTTCTGGACCAAGCAGAAAAAACAAAAACATCATCACAAATACTTCAGATCTATCCATGTCAGATCTATCCATGTCAGATCTATCCATGTCAGATCTATCCATGTCAGATCTATCCATGTCAGATCTATCCATGTCAGATCTATCCATGTCAGATCTATCCATGTCAGATCTATCCATGTCAAACCAAATTTCATTCAATTTCTTTTTGTTTTGTAATTTTAAAAAGAAACAATAACACTAGGACTTTGATCTATGAAGTCTTTAATGTTGTCTTGATCTATCAAATCTTTAATGTCTCTCATACATGGATTCAAACACAGACAACAATACACTAGAGTACATTCATGAACGAACATTTGTTTTGACTATAGATTTCAAATAAGAATCTTTGAAATGAATATATAAGCTTATGAATTTCATTAAAAAAAACAACAAGAACAAACAAACAAAAAAAAACAACAGTTTTTATACGATCCATTTTCCGTTCACAATTTGTTTTTACAGTTTTTTGTTTCGTAAGAAAACTTGACAAGGGGGAAAAAACTAAAATACAAAACTGTATATACTAAACGTCCAACGCTGTACACGTCGAACGCTGCACACGTCGAACGCTGCAATCAATCCACTTAAGGAAAAGTACTGCGTGGGAGTTAGGAGGCATTACGTCTCACAGTGGAGAAAGTTTTAAGGAGTGGTCCTTCTTGGATTTAGGAAAAACTTGCACATGTGTCACTGTAGCATCCGATTCCAGCAGTGCATTTTTTTCAACACATTTAATACATTTAACTTAAAGAGGGATGCGCGGCTGACTACCATGAACCGCCTGCTTGCCTGAGAGGGAGCTTGTCTTCAAATCCTGATACAGATGAGTGATTTTTAATATTAAAATAGGATTCAAGTTGAAACGTGATTTCTGAGAACCTAAGACAGCAAGGAAACCTTTAATAAGGAGAGATGGCATTCTACTCAAAGGTAAGAGAAGGAAACTCGTGAAATTCGTGTACAGTGGTTTCGTGCGTTATTTCCCTTGTTCTAAAGTTTGTGGGAGTGTAACTTTATCCTATTGGAAGCACTGGAATCTATTTTCTAACTTCGGAATGAAGATTTGGTCTAGGACTAGTTTCTCTACTGAAATCTTTTACGGCATCTTAACACCCGTGTCACAATAAGTAATTGACTTTTGTGTGAGAGTATAATATCTCTATGCTACCTGTACTCCTAGGTTTTGAAAAGGAAACATCTACATGTGCACTATTTGTAGTTATTAAGTCTCAATTATCACCTCAAAAATAAATCACTACTTTTAATTTGAGAACCTCGTCCAAGTCTCCTTTCGTCGACAACTTTTTTTTTTTGGAAAAAAAAAGGGGGGGGGGGGGCAATTACACCAGAATGCTTATTATGAATTTTAAAATCACAAAAATAAATTAACATCGTAGTTTGACAAAATATTTGGGACAACTCTTTAATCACTCAAGTACTACCCATTGAAGGAATTGCACGAACTAACAAAAGGGCTGTATTGTTAGCATTAAAATCACTACAAAATACAAGATTCACTTCGGGTGTTTATACTGGAAGAACTGTTTGAACAAGTGTCTTCAATTGCAATACAAGTAATGTATTTAAACAACAACAACAACAACCTTCCGCACATTTCTTTTCCACTTTGTCTCGACTATATTTGGCGCATTAAAACAAAATTACATGACATGTCATAAGGGCGCATAAGACGAAATGATAAAGAAAATATTACAGAGTAGAATAGCCTTTCTTAGTGGCCAAAACGTTATTTCTTTTGAAACATGCACTTCTATAAATATGAAAATGCTGTGAGGGTATCAATATTTTAATAATCATAACTTGTATAAATTCATCAAGGCACTCTTAATTTAACAATAGTCAGTGATAATTTTGTACACCAGAATGTGATGGCCGATCTAGTCAGTGTACAGAATGTCGTGGCTGATCTAGTCAGTGTACAGAATGTCGTGGCTGATCTAGTCAGTGTACAGAATGTCATGGCTGATCTAGTCAGTGTACAGAATGTCATGGCTGATCTAGTCAGTGTACAGAATGTCATGGCTGATCTAGTCAGTGTACATAATGTCATGGCTGATCTAGTCAGTGTACAGAATGTCATGGCTTATCTAGTCAGTGTACACAATGTCATGGCTGATCTAGTCAGGGTACACAATGTCATGGCTGATCTAGTCAGTGTACAGAATGTCATGGCTTATCTAGTCAGTGTACACAATGTCATGGCTGATCTAGTCAGGGTACACAATGTCATGGCTGATCTAGTCAGTGTACACAATGATGAACATTGTTTCATGTTACTCACAATGTACGTAAAATAAAGAACGTTCTCACCTATTATTTACAACTAGGGTTCATATAAGAAAAAACAACAACATCCGAATAAAAAGTTTGTCTTCAAGTCCAAAGTAATTCGCAGACCAAGCTTTGGTCTGTATATTCTTCAATACTCAAAGCAGACAAGGCCATGCACAGCTGATATCCGTCAATATTCCCATACGTAGAGAAATATATTAAACTTGTTTCTATATCGGACCACAGTCCAGATATCATTAAAACAACCAGTTTTTTCAGTGTATATAAAGAAAATCTGCTCTATTGACCAGGACTTCAGAAAAATTTAATGCGATTTAATACATTTTGACGCACCAGTATATTATATTGCTTTTCTATATAATTGACACACTAGTTTATCATATAGTCTAAGTGTACACATTGATAACACATGAGCTCCTCGTAACTCAGCGATGCACCATGAATAATAATGACACACGTTGATACGTAATGCACTATAACACATCAAGACGCACTAGGGCACACCATGACAAACCTCGACACTACAAGACACACAGAGAGAGGTCGTATCACAGTTCTTGATGAGCGAAGCTCTACAATAGTCTAATTTTTATATCATTGATAACATTGCAACATATAAGATACGATTTAAAGACATCAAAAAATGTAAAGAAATAGGATGCTAAAATTGTAATTTATTCTAATGATAAAACAATTCCGATACTGTAATGCCGTAAAATGTTGTTTTCTTTACATTAAACTAGTGTAATAGTATTACGGAGATTATAGGTGTACTATAGTGCGATTGTCGCATCTGGAATCTATCGAATTAGTTATTATTTACATTACAAGTTATGTGTTTAAATGAACTACAATAGGTTAAATATAACATTTTATTGATTAAACGAGAATCAATTATTAAAAAATAAGTTGTAATGTAAATACATCCTAAAAAAAGTAGAACGTGGAATTTTAAAAGTTGATTTAAAATTTATTACTAAAACAAAACCAAAAAAAAAACTGGGATAATTAAAAAACACAGATTACTCCCCTCTTAAAATAATAATGTAAAAATAGTCAATGGAAAAAAAAATTACACTGGCATACATACAGTTCGGTATTGCTTTGATAAGATAAGAATAAAGCAAAACTTTAAACTTTGAAATATGAGAGAGAGAGAAAGAGAGAGAGAGAGAGAACTAATTAAATGACAGAGCTTGATGCCTAAAGATAAATATGTGAAAGTGTCAGACAGTTTCAATGCTACACCCAACAACTCAATCAGCTCAGTCGGAGGTACATACTTCAATTCAATAGAGAAAAAACGTGTTAGAATACACTATTTACGCTAAAGAGAAATAATAATCATTTTAATACTTTCAAAAAGTAAATCTAACGACTATTTATTTTGGATAAAGTTTAGTTTGTTTTGAGACGTCTTGTCGTTTTGCTAATGGCCTATTTAAAAGTCTGCCGATGCCAAATCTGACTTCACGCAATTCACAGCAGAAAATGCGAATGTGTAAATAGTGTACTATGCACATCACAAAATCATGGAGTACTGGTTTGGAATTTAAAATGACGTTTCTTTACCAATGATGTCATCAACATTCACGTAGACATTGCCGTCATTGTTCAGCAGCCGTCGAGCACTGACGTCATTATCGTCTTCTTGAGACTGTGTCTTGTCAGACACGGTCTTGTCTTTGTTGGCATTGTTTTTGTTCAACGCCGCTGGCAATCTCTGAAGCGAATGTGGTGCATTGCTGTAAGCTGGTGACATGCTCCTGATGCCCCTCACTCCACTTTGAGGGTACCTCATGTCCGGGCTCGAGGTAAAGTTGGAATCCTTACTAGGAGAGGCGGGTGAGGACTGACCCTCGTCTGAGAGCTTCGAGAGATCGCCTGGCGAAGGCAGGCGGTTCGTGTCTGAGATCTCTGAAAACGTGGAGGACGGGGACTCAGGACTGTCTAAAATAAAAGGCTCGTAACGCTTCCCATCAGAGGAGGGCGATGTTTCCACAGACCCAGGCACATGTGGTGGGGGCGGGAGCGGCAATCCAGGCGTCGGGGGGCTGATGTCTGCCATATCATCATAGCCCAGAACTGCCTCATCGAATGTTGGAGGAGCTGGATGAAGCTCCAAATCCGCCACCATGCTGTTCTTGTCCCCGCGTATTTTAGAAGCTTGGTTAGGGGACGTTCGTTGAGCAGACCCATCTCGACCCACTGCGACATTATTCTCATAGATGGGCCCAGATCTGTCTGCCTGCTGTGGAGACACGTGCATGCTCTGCAGTGGTATATGAACACTATGAGGTGAACTTTTGTTTGGATTGGAAGAAGTTCTCAAAGGAACGGAAGGTTTCAGAAGGCCGTCTTCTTCATCAGTATCTCCTTTGCCTTCCAAGGCGAGGAGAGGTTGAGCAGCATATTTCTCAGCCCCAGATGACGCCGTATCGCTCTTCTGCTGACGCCTTCTCTTGTGGGCTTTTCCATTGACCTGTGTCGACTCTTGCATTTCCAGCTTGTATGGTGCTCTTAGTTCTCGAGACACTTCTAGTGATGCAGAGTGGCTGCAATGTAAAAAGAAAAGGAGACGCTGTAATTATTTGTTTGGAAAAAAATTCAGTTAAATACAGTATTTCAGATTTCCTTTTGTGTGTATGTGTATATCTATATAAATGATGTTATGCTGTAACTGAACTATCCTGTTCTTTTCGAAAGTACTAATCGAATACCAAGTTACAGCGGTACACATTTGGTAGACTTGGTGACATGAATAAAGTGAACAAGAATAAGCAAGTGTACGAGACAGAGAGAGAGAGGCAGAGAGAGAGGCAGAGAGAGAGAAGCAGAGAGAGAGGCAGAGAGAGAGGCAGAGAGAGAGGCAGAGAGAGAGGCAGAGAGAGAGGCAGAGAGAGAGGCAGAGAGAGAAGCAGAGAGAGAGAAGCAGAGAGAGAGAAGCAGAGAGAGAGAAGCAGAGAGAGAGAGGCAGAGAGAGGGGGGCAGAGAGAGAGAGGCAGAGGGAGACAGGCAGATGGAGAGAGGCAGATGGAGAGACATAGAGAGAAAGAAAAAGAGAAAGAGGCAGAGAGAAAGAGGCAAAGAGAGAGGCAGAGGGAGAGAGAAAGGCAGAGAGAGAGAGAGGCAGAGAGAGACAGAGACAGACAGACAGAGAGAGAGACAGACAGAGACAGAGAGAGAGAGACAGAGAGAGAGAGACGAAAATTAAAAAAAGAAGAGAGAGACAGAGAGAGGGTCGAGTAGGAATAACCGCTGAAAGCGTGTTCAACCTAGCCTAAATTAATTTGAAGATAATTATATTTAAAAAAATTTACAAGAGTTTTCACTTTCATCGTAAGCTAGTTAGGTAGATTTTTTCCCCCAAAGATCTACATAAACTGTCGAATTTATAGTGAAATTGAAATACCCCTCCAGTGTCCAGTATAAAGAGTTTGTAAGCTAGTAAGAGGCATTGAATGAAAATAAAAAAGGAGCGGGAGAGATAAGCAGAAAATATGATGGGGAATAAAATAGAGCTGTAGAACAATTGATTGTTACTTTCAGTGGCGAAGCTAGGGATATGGAGGTCTGGGGGGGGGGCTTACCCTTTTTAGGGGCCCCTGCATTAAGGAATTCGACATCATGATATGATTTATGGCGTAATATTTAATGCAAAAGCAAATTTCGGACACTCATTTGGGAGTCCCCTCACGTTGGGGATCGGGGGGATTTTCAAATTTAGTCTCTCTACTCCCCCCACCCTAAACTACGCCACTGCTTACTTCAAATTACCACAGAGTTTTTGACTGATCGTTTAGACATGTAAATGTTAAGTGTTCGTTTTTAAAATAAAATAATTACTTTGTTAACCGTCACTGACATGCGAGATGGTTTAACTACTTACGCCAAAAGCCTTCTCAGCTGTGAAATTTTGAGGAGGGCAATGTCCAGTTCATGCTTGACCTTCCAGAGTTGGGTCTCACACAAAGGGTCCTTACACTTGTGGTGTTTGTGGTAGTCTATGGCCTCTATCACCGACTGCTCAAAGGTCAGAGACTGACCCATACTCTGAAAGTAATGGTAACAACTACGAATCAGTTGAAAACTTACCCATTTAAAAATATTGATCAACAACACAAGTGATGGACGAAATGCGTTTGATAAACTGTGTCCTTTGTCTGTAATTTTTATACATGTACATTTTGTGAGACTCTTCTAACATGATTTACAATATATTTGCAGTCAGGGGTGGGCAAATTACGCCGCCGGAGTGTTTTATGTGGCCCACCGACACCTACAGAAATAAGGTGTGCCCACAGTATATACAAATATAAATGCAAATATATTAAAAATATATCATTATAAATTATTGAAACTGTCTCATTATAAAAAGTTTCAAGTAAACGAAGATTATGCTTATTGGCTATACATCAATACACTCAATACAAGACACAATCTGTGATCAGTATTTATTCAAAGCTATGAATGCCATAAACTATAAACAGGAAAGTTGCATACAATTTCTTTATTGCCGCAAAGGAATACATAGCTGGCACAGATGGGGATAGTGGTGTGAGTGTAGTCAGCCGACGCAAGTCGCCCCGGGCCAGCTGGACGAGCGGTCAACCGTGACGAGTTACGACGGTCAGTTACGACGAGTGTCAACATGACGGTTCGGGAAGGATCGACGTCGTGAACACAACTCAGGAGCGTCACGAGAGTTGTAGTCATCTGACCACCCAGAAACATCGAGCGGCGTTCTGTCCGGTTCTAGAAGGCCAGTAGGAACCCTATATAAAGAGCGGAGGTTCGCGACAGAGTGGTTCACGACAGGGGCTCAGAA